TTGCACTGCGTGAGGCAAATGGTGGTCACACCAGATACTGACTGGTTTTCGGACCCCCCCGGACCCCCCAATACAGTAAAACTGCACATTTTAGAGTGGCCTTTTATTGTGGCCAGCCTAAGGCACACCTGTGCAATAATCATGCTGTCTAATCAGCATCTTGATATGCCATACCTGTGAGGTGGCTGGATTATCTCGGCAAAGGAGAAGTGCTCACTAACACAGATTTAGACAGATTTGTGAACAATATTTGAGAGAAATAGGCCTTTTGTATACATAGAAAAAGTCTTAGATCTTTGAGTTCAGCTCATGAAAAATAGGGGCAAAAATAAAAGTGTTGCGTTTATATTTTTGTTCAGTATATATAACATGGTAACTGTTTAAATAGTCAGAGATAAAATAAAAACTTTATGTGTGCCACCTTGTTTCCAGCTCAAGTCTTTGCTGAAGTGTTTCAGTGCTGTGCGAAGCAGGTCTTTAGCTTTAAAGCATACAAATGGCTTTGCGTCACACATCATCTGCATGAGCATCTCTCTAAGGACGCACAGACATACAGATACAAAGTAAAACACACTGAACATCACCTACAGCATCCACAAATGTCCTCACCTACACTCAATTCCACATTACATCTGTAACAGTATCCCTTTAAAGGAAAACAAATAACTAATGCTACTTGGCATCTGTGACAGAAAAACAGCAAGGACACAATAAGGACTGCAGTTACATGTAAATACCTCTCTGTCGCTTCTCGTTTCCTCTCCAAACACAAACACACCTGGTAAAGACATCCTGCTTTTGTGTATAGTCTTGTTGGGCCCAAGCTGGTGCCTGCTCTAGTCTGAGGTACAGCACCCTCTCTGGTGGTCTGTCCTGTGGTCCCTCTGAATCCAATTCCCTCTTTAGCAGAACCAGAAGGCCACACACTGAAGGGCTCAGCTTCTTTAGGAGAGACATTGAATATATCCAGCCATTAATTCTCACATACAGTACCACTCATACAACATTCAGTTTGCCGCATAATTTGCAGCAAATCTATCTTAATCTTAATTAATTAATTACTTTTTTAATGTTTTTTATAGAAGTCTCATGCTGCATTTTGGCTGCATTTATATGATTAAAAATACAGCAAAACTGTAATAATCTGAAATACTATAACAATTTAAAATAACTGTTTTCTATTTGAAAATATTTTAAAATGTAATTCATTCTTGCAATGGTGAAGCTGAATTTTCAGCAGCCATTACTCCAGTCTTCAGTGTCAAACGATCATCCCCTTTGAACAGTAGCGTACAGTATATCCAAAAAATTTGTAGTACAGCCAAAGCTTAAAGGGGTCATATGATGTTGCTAAAAAGAACATTATTTTGTGTATTTGGTGTAATGAAATGAGGCTGAGTGAGCAGAGGCCGGTGGCTAGAGTGAGGAACGGCCAGCGGGCTGAGTGAGCGGAGGCCGGTGGGCTTGAGAACGGCGCGGCCGGCGGGCTTGCGGAAACCACATGTGACGACCCCGGGCTGGACTCAGTGAAAAAGCCGATCCGGCGATCCACAGCACGAAGTTGACGTATTTCCTCAGCGACCAGGCATCTGCTCTAGGCATGACGAAGTGGATATCGTCCTCTTTTGGAAGGCCAAACAAAGTAGTTTTGCTTTCACAATGAAAAAGAATATCTCTTTGGATTTGAGACTTTAGTCTTTGCAACTTTACAGATCTTCTTTATGCACCAAGAGCTTGTAACACTTCAAAGAGAAAGGAAAAATTGAAATCGCATCATATGACCCCTTTAATAATTTAGCTCAATGAATATCATCTAGTGACTCTGTAATCACACCTGTTCTGGGTCCAATTGTATGGTGCCATCTTGGTATACCATGGTAACAACAAATGCTTTGACTTTTCCTGCCTCCTCTAACAAACACTCTCTCTCCTCTTGTGAGAGACGGCCTGTGTCACACACCCTGGGATCAGAGGTCAAACTAAAGGCCCCTTTAGTGCTTGCTGTGGTTCCATCTTCTTTTCTGTCTGTTTCTGAAGGCATTTCATTGCTTCGTTTGGATCCTGACAGACTTGGATCAGAGAGCTTTGGGGATTTGGAGTGATTTGGTTTATTGCATCCTTGACTCTTTAATTCTTTCTGTGGTCGGAGAGGATGTCTCTGCATCTTGATGTTGGGCTGTAGAAGTTTTGGTTTTAGGAGTTTTATTGAGCCCTTTACTTTTGCCTTGTGGAAGAGCTGCGAGGGGAACCTGAGGGCTCTGAGTGTCTTTTTGCGCAACTCATGTGATGAAATGATCTTAGGAGCTTCCTGTGAGGGTCCAGGGGGTTCACATTTATGCTTTGGAAATAATTTCATCTCACCAGCCTGTATGTGTTAAGACAACAAATGCAAGTAGAGTTAAAGAAGAGGACATTTGAGTTCAAATGAGCTCTTATTACATGTGAAGAAAATATTCCACACAATTCAAATAAAGCCAATTACATAACTTCAAAAAGCTTAAATCGGCAGCAGACAGCCATCCACACACAACCCTCCTATTCAGAGTTTGGCTGTCAGCGCCAGACAAATCAGCTTAAAAAAAGCTTCAATACGAGAATATGTACACACAGTTCCCAGGCTGTCACTTATAAAGCTTTCTAAAGCAGTTTTTAGGCTGATGCACCCACACTTTTATCGCTGCTAGGACAAGTCTTCGTCTGGTACTTCTCAACCTCTGAATGACCCCTGTGATTCTTTACGTAACAGACATCTGCAGCAGAGCAGGAGACTTCCATTATTCATTAGTAGGCTGTTTCACCTTGAAAGGAGTTCAAATAAAACTACACCAAGCATTCAGGATCAAAACATTCTTGCACACTAGTTAACTGATCCCTAGATAAGTGAGGCTTTTTAATGTTCATGCTATTTTTAGAACATCTAGCATTTAGTGTTCTTTGTCTAGATAAGTCTTGGGATTTCACATTTTCACTCTCTTTAACTCATTCTTTCCTCACTTTTTCTCTTTCTGTAACTTGTGTGAATGTATGATTCCGTGTATTTATGTGTTAGATTAGTTTATATGTCTTAGATTTATCCAATAAATTCTTATTTATATTGAAAAGTAGTATATTGTGTTTTGTGCATACAAGTTAATGTCTTAAACTGCCGATCTTGTTACTGTGCTAATAAATATTTTTCACTACATTTTGGATATTAACATCCATGCGGAGTTGACGATATACGGCTCGTTCAATGAATCGCTGGCCGACTCCGTGATCAGCCGTAAAACATTGATTCTGTCCAAATGATTCCCTTTGAGCTAAATTGACCTGTCTCCCTTACAACATTTTAAATATATATGAGAGAAAATACAGCAAGCAGAAACTGAAATTATAGGCCTAAAGACGTGTCAGAGCTGTGGCCTAGTAGTGTTTCACAATCTTATTTCTTCCTTTCCAACATCTATTTAGCATATTATTAGCAAAAGCTAAACATTAAAAAATATTAGGTTCAATTAATAAAATCTAAGTGGATAAAAAGAGGAATGTTGAGATTCAGAAAATCAGACAAACACATCTCTGATGACATAACATCTGAGAGAAGGACTGCCTTCTCTCAGCACTGGAGTCGGTACATTACCTGAGAGTGGGGCTGGATGCTGTGCTGCACTCCATCACTGGTGGGGGGTCCTGAGGATTCCACCTTTCCATCTCTCTCTCCAACAAGCATCAGAAATGTATTCTCAACTGGCTGGGGAGAATCTGCGTGTATGATAAAAAGAGTGAATAGTGTCTCAGCATTGTCACTGGCATGTGGATGCATGCATCTCATTTCTGCCCAGTGGGTAGTGTCGGTTTGTTGCATCAGTAGCTTGTACGTAGCTGACACAAAAAAAATAAATAAAAAATGTAAAAGCTATATGCCATCTAAAACCATTTTAAACAGCATTTTGTAAATCTTGATAAAACTTGGTTGGTTTACAAGAACAAAGGACTGGTTTACAAGAACAAATTATTTGCAAATCAGACATTACCAGCCTTGATAAGGCTGACACACTGGGAGAATGGCTTACATGTGAAATAGTAGGGCTGCAATATGAAGATTTTTCAAAATATGTATTTGTATGGTCTAGCAGACCATCAAGCACTGTACTTACTTGTTCTGCTCTTGGTAATCTCTCTTCTTTCAGAGCCACAGTCTTCTTTTTCCTCCACTGAGTCCAGTATTTCACCTGACCTAACAGGTGTGTCTTGCACACATTCGAGGACAGAGACACTTCCACATATTTCAGCATGTACACAGCTTTCCACTGGAAGTGACAATTCAGAGTTTCTGCTATTTTGCCAGTAATGGCTGCTCTCCAGGTCCTCAGACTTAGATGTTGGTTTCTCTACATTAGACATATGATTACTATGCTGCACTTGTATGATCACAGCTTGGTCAGCTCTGGCCTCTTTTGAGATGTCTTCAAAAACAGACTCACTGCTATCTTTTGCTGTCAATCCCGATCGACAACTCCAAAATGGCTCTATCTGTCCAGTCCTCTGCTGCTTGTCCACAATATCAATCCTCTTTTCTTCTTCTCCAGATGCTGGATGACAGTTGTTAGTAGGAAATGCATGCTGCCCAAAGCTGAACTTCTTTACTGGAGCCTCATGTTGTTCACAACCTACTGGGTCTTTTTCAGAGGGGCTTGCTGGTTGAATCCAACTCCTCTTCCTGAAGGTCAGTCTATGGATCTCTGCTTCTGTCATAATGCCTGGTCTAGCCTGAGGGCTCCCAATGCTATTTAAGCGGAACATATGTAAACTGTCTTCTCCCTGTGCTACCGGTATATAAGGCTGGACGTTGGGCTTTATCATATCATCAGCATAGTACAGTGCAAACCTCTCATTACTGGTCACATCCTTTAACTTGAAGTGGTTTGAATCTTCCACCAGATCATTAGAATTCAATGTTCTAAAGACAGAAAGATAAAATAAGAGAGAAAATGATCAGAAAATAGAAAATAGTGTAAACTTGTTTAAGACTAGTACTTGTCTATGTACTGTACATAAACAGCATTTTAAAATGTCAAAAAAGTCAAATGAAGTTATTTTATTTGTAGTTATGTATACATTATTATTGGCATAATATATGCACAGCAAATATCTAAATATTAAACTGTTGTTACTGTAGATGCTGTATCAGCGGTATTACTCACCTGTTTTTCCCTGCAAACAAATCTTTATTTCTGTCATCTCTGCCCTGCTGCTGAGACAGTCCGAAACCTCTACCAGATAAGCCTGTAATTTTTAATAGTTAAAGATTCCCTCAGACAGAAAAATATTTAAACCATTTTTAACACCTGTTTGTGAACTAGTCTTTCTCAAAGTCACCAAGCCTAGCTCAAAAGTTTGAACTTGAGTGTTAATACCCAATAAAATGCAGCTTCCCGTTGGCCATAACTTTCCTCAAGTTAATATTTTTTAGAATATTCTGTTTCTGACTCACTAGCTCTGCTTCTGTCTGTTCTGTGCACATACTGGACCCGAAGGGCTGATATGACGCTCTGTGCAGCTGCAGAGAGAGGTGCTGTGTTCAGACTGCTGCAGAGGTAGCTTTCCATCTAATTTGCTGCACTCCTAGTCTGTCTTAAGCCTGTAGACACACATTCAGAAAAATAGCAGTCCAATCTAAGCAGAAGGTGCTAGATTCATATCTAACAACAAAGGGACCAAACATGCACATGCGACACAATATTTGGCTGCTGTCATACTCTTCCACAACACAATATATGAGTGGAAATCCATTGTTCCAATGTCTGTCAGTCAACTCAGATCTATCAAAAGATAGGTGGTCTTTTTTAATGAGATGAAAATCCTAAATGTATTGAGGCAAAGAATCAAACTGCATTTATAACAAAATTAAAACACACACACAAAAAAATTTGCTGAAACACTGAGATTACAAATTATGTTTATTTACAAAGATACAACTATTAATCACCCAAAAACTGTAAGAAACATGATATATACAAGGTGCAGTACATTTGTTAAAGTACAAATGCAAATTGATGTGAAACTGTATGTACTAAATACAAATTTGTCATACCTAAAGAACATTAACTTTTAGCAGATATCAGAAATAAAGAATAAAAAAATGAGTATATCAGATCTACGGAGCTCCATAACAGAAGCAACAATAGTCCATGTTCTTATCTGCATATAACATACATTTTTTTTTAAGCAGGGACCCCTGTATTGTTGGCTTGAGTAGACAGAGGACGTTCTGATTCTACATAACCCCTGCTTGAGCCTCTATATCTCTCACTGCTCTGCTGAGCAGTCTTGGGTCCAGATGGAAATAAACATACAGTTCCCTCTCTCTCCTCAGGGTGGCACTGCGTTCAAGCCTCCCTCGTTTGGACTTCAAGTCCCCAACTATGTCCTGTAGAGACGTGTACAAGGCCTTCTGCTTGACCTCCAACTCATCAAGAACTATTGTGAGCTCCTAAACAGAGAGAGTGGGTGGGAAAAAGTCAGACAGAGAGCAGGAGGTGCCAAGTACAGAGGCAGGCAGAAAGCGTGACAGGCAAAGTAAAAGTAAAAGAAGGGAAATGGCATGTACATGACAGTGTGTACAGTGGAAAATTGTTTGAAAAGGTGAGATGAAGAGCAGGGAGCGAGAGAGAGATGGAGTTAAAAAACTTGCAATTATCCCTGTTCTGCTTGATATGTTATGGAAATACACATAATAACAATCTACACATGAACTCATTAAAGTGCCCCTATTATGGGTTATGAAAGGCTCATATTTTGGTTTTGGGAGTCCCCAACAACAGGTTGACATGCATGCAAGGTCAAAAAACAGTTTCATTGTCTTATAATATGCATTTATTTTTACCTTATTTGCTAAACGACTCCTAAACGATTCGCTCAACAATTCATTTTTCCAAACCCCTCCTTTGCGTGACGCTAATCTGCAGTGATTGGTCCGATTGGTCTCATTTTCATTTCATCATGAGCCTGTAATGCCCAATAGCACGCAGTGCTGCTTTGTGTACAGCGTTACCGGGGAAACAGCTATTTTTACCGCTCCAAAAGCTGCACCTAGTGGCAAAGAATAAATTTGCATTTTCATTCAAACCAACACAAAAATCAAGTTTTCCCAGGTCTGCGTGCGCAACAAGTGGGTGGGCAATATGCTAATGATTCATGTTGATGTCAACATGAAACAGCTAGAAATTCGTTTTTAAAAACGACTCTTTCAATGATTCAGTCGACTCTTTCTTTTGAGAGACAATAACATTATACACGGTGCACTTTCAGATTTAAAACTTTGCAGGATGTTTTCATTCACTTAGAGCTGTGTTACACACTGCATGAAAAGTAATTTTCAAAAATCCATAATAGGAGCACTTTAACACTGATCGCTTACTGTGCATACAAGTACAGAGACGAACAACAAATACAAATGATAAACAGAACTAATTTAATTGACTGCAATGTAATTAAACTAATTACATTTAAATTCTGCATTACAATGAGAAGGGAAGAAGAGTAAAATATTAGGCGTTACAATTAATTATATAATTGTTTTTAATGTCACTCCAGCTGCTATGTCTATTTTCATGGCAAATATTTTCCAGGTTAAAATATAAAAATAGATCAAACTAAAAAGTAAATGTTATAGATCCATTTTTAATAACTTTTTCAGGAGTAACTTTGTTAAAAAAAAATAAATAAAGCTTTTCAAGGGTGTCAGCAGAACAAAAGTGTTTTCAGAGGACTAGAAATATCACAGTTCAATAAACTGTTTTTCACAGACAGTGAGGTGTTGCAGTGACATGAAAGAAAACATAAGCCATAGACAATTTTAAACCTTTTCACTAAGAATGAAAACACAAAGGGCCAGATATACTAACAGCTCATATCAGTGCAAACTCTCTTTTGACATAAAAAAAAACCTACTGTCAATACGTACTAAAGTCATGGATTGAAAAATCATTTAAAAAAAAAAAAAGGTATTTTTGCAGCTAACCTTATTGCATTTGTAGGAGTTTACCCTTCAGATGCAAAATGTATGGGAGGAGAGTATTTAAATTAATAGGGGTTTGCAGTACTACTTGAAAAAGGTCATTATTTAACACCCCAAAAAAGCATGTCTTAATCATTACGCTCCTGTATTGTTAGTGGATTACCTGCATCTGATTATCACTGGCTGTGCTTGTTTGTGACCCTGTGCTAATTTGAGCTGCTCTTAGTAAATTGCATTGTTCATTATGGATATGAGCATGCTGTGTTTGTATTCTTTCATTTGAACATTTTCAGTAGATCACCTGCAAAATTTTCACTCCCATCTGCGCTTTTAAGGGCTTGCAGTTTCACGCTAATTTGCCCTGTTTAGTAAATCTGGCCCATATAATCTTAAAACAGCAAATAAAAATAAAAAACAGTGCATAAAAACACCAAAACCCCACACCAAACAATTACGACAAACCACTAAGAGATGCATGCTTTTTATAATCATAAATATGATGATTAATCTGCTCACGTTTCTTGGGATTCACAAAGGATGATGTTGAAAATGGCGATGAGGTTGAGAAAAAAAGAACAGAAAGACATACCTGTGCATGAGGGCAGAACTCCAGTGCAGGTGTGGCTATAGCACATACCTGCGGCCTCAGAAGAGGCTGCACAATGTCCGAATACGCCACTTGGTCGAGTGCATCTCGGTCACTTTCTAACCGAGCTCCAGTATAGGCTTGCTCTCGTCTGGCCCCATCCAAAGCCTCTTGTACAGTGACCAAATCCTCCTGTAATTTAAAGGCTGCTGTTTCCAGCCTACTGTAGGTTTGGAATGGATCCTCTTTCTCCGTGGGGGCCTTACCCAACTCAAGCATCTGCAGCAACCTGAGGGATGAACATATAGAACATATAGATATAGATGAAGATATAGTCTTACAAACCCAAACTGCATTACATAGTACAAAACTTCTCCCCACTCATGGTGGGTTACCTGCTAAAGGCTGTGTCCTTGGAGGTGATGACCTGTTGTTTAGCATTAGAACCAAGGTAAGGGACTTGAGTTAAGTGAGGCTGTGTCAGAATGTTTTCTCTCTGAGCAGCAGCTTCTGCTGCCCCTTCCAGCCTCTTCAGTATTTCATCAAGCTGCTTCATCACCCTCTTCCCCATAAGGAGCTCTGCATCCTGGGCCAGACGCACAAGTTCGAAGAAGGCCTTTTGACGGAGAAGCTGGTGACGAACTTCAGTCTGCCTGGAGGTGTAGTAATTTTGCCTGGCTAACTGAAGAGCGAGGTCACCACGCACCACAGGAATATTAAGGAGGCGGGTACAGTCTCGTAACACGGAGCGGACTGGGTCTAACATAAGGGACTGAATTTCAGACTGAATATAGAGGATCTCAGAGTGTAGATCAGGCTCAAGCCTGCTTGCCTGTGAGTAGCACAGAGACTACGAGAGGAAGGGAATGAAAATGAGACACATTTAGAGGTATACTCAATTCAAGGGACAGAAAATATTGCCTCAATTGTATCATTAAAAGGGTCATATGATGCCATTTTTAAGATCATTATTTTGTGTATTTGGTGTAACAGAATATGTTGACATGCTTTAATGTTCAAAAAACACATTATTTTTCAAATACTGTACATTATTGTAGTTCCTCTATGCCCCGCCTCTCTCAAACGCATCGTTTTCTACAAAGCCCCTTCCGACAATCACAGTCTGCTCTGATTGGCCAGCTGACCCTGTGCATTGTAATTGGCCGAACACCACAAGCACGCGTCTGAAATGTAACGCCCCTTTCCATAATCGCGAGCTTCAGCTTTCAACACAAATGTAAAGACAGTAAATTATGTCCTTAGTTTTACCATCAGTTCAAGCCCGAAAGGGGAACAGAGTCGCGTGACAGACACAGTGATGATGCTCTTTTTGTATTTGCAGTAGAGCCTGACCGATATGGGTTTTTTGGGGGCCGATGCCGATACCGATATTAGGGATTAAAAAAAGACCGATACCGATATATCGGCTATATTATAGTACAGTATAGTCCACTTCCCATTCGTGTGTCCAAACTTTTGACTGGTACTGTATATAGAATATAGTATATAGCCTACATAAACAGAATATACAGTATATACATTAGGGCCGTCAAAAATAAATTCAAATTTCGAATATTTGTCGAATTTAAAATAAAAATCCACATTTTAGGTGTGTGTCAGGCAGCCTTATCAGTGGCGCACGAAATGCGACGATGATGTAAGTGTCATTGTGTGACGAGTGGGGGCGGGGCCGAGAGTCGTGGGAACGGAGCGAGGTCGGTGGAGTAATTGATAATGAGTGACACCTGCACCACTCACCGGTCTCCAGTCCCACGGAGGAGCTCCGGAAGGATAAAAGGAGGAGCTACGACAGTGAAAGGAGAGAGGACTAGGCCTGGAT